AAAAAAAAAAAAAAAAAAAAAAAAAAAAAAAAAAAAAAAAAAAAAAAAAAAAAAAAAAGATTCGAGGGAAAGGTCCGATTCGGACAAAATAATCTCTCCATCAGACCTCGGCACGAACTTGCTCCGACCTCCATATTATATTCGTATCCCGGACTGACATACCTCTCGCGAGCACTGCTGGTGGCCTGGGGGGGCGGCCCAACAGCCGTGGGCTTGCTCTCCTGGCAGGGGCTCGTGGTAACCGAGGCCTGGCCGGGCGCGCTGCCGACCGGGCTCTGCGGCGTCGTTGGACCCGACGGGGAAGACATGGCCGCGACCATCGCACTCAGGTTCCTCGAGGTCGCCTGCTGCGGCGACGATTGCTGTGACGGCTGAGGCGGTGGCGAGAAAGGCGAGGTCACGCTCGGCAGCGGCGAGGTCGCTATCGTGGTCGTCTGGACGGGCGGCGGCACTCGCGTCAGCAGCGCCTGCAGCATGTCCTCGATCTTGGCCAGCCGCTGGTTGACCCGCTGCACCTCCAGCTTCAAGTCCACCTTCACCTGCGTTTTCATTTTCATACGCGATTTACGGGTGGACCTCGACCCAAGGGACGACAACAGCAGCGGCAGCAAAAAATCGTGTACCTCGAGGACAGCAGCGAGGATCTCGCGCTCGTGGCTCGGTTGCACGATGAGGCCTCCGTCGTAGCTTTCGAGCTTGCGCATCTGGAGCTGCTTGGAGTTTTGGATTTCTTTTTTTTTTTTTTCATACAAACTAACTTTATCAAAACTTAAAACTTGTGGTTTATTTATGGTTATTAAAAGGCTAGAACTACAGTAAATGGTTTTCTGTGTAAAATAAATGTTAGAGAAGACGTATTTTTTCTACACTTTGAGTTATCCTAGATGTTCAAACTATAGTTCCCAATTTTTTCTCCAGTAATGATTTCTGCTTCAATGTTAAATTTTTATAACTTTGCTTACAAATTTTTTTATTGCTTTTATAACTTTGCTATTATAATTTTTGCTTTAATATTAAATTTTCATAACTTTGTAATTTTAAGACGCATTCCATTACATAAATAATTAGTTACACTCAAATTTCGTATCAGCATTACTATTGCATCCACCATTGGATTTAACTGTTAGGGTTGGAGACCTACTCTGATACTATTTAAAATTTTCACAGGAAAGTTTATATAAATATCCTCATCAGTCTTATCTACCCCAGTATAAGTGGCACCATCAGAACTTTAATAAACATTTGCTTTTCCCGGCGTCTTGTGTTAAAATTACTTTATGTACTGACGAAATAATAAAACTACCGAAAATATTCGAACAAAGGTCTTTGGTATGCCATTTTATTGAAGTTTCAAAATACTTTATTTTTTCTTTTCCTATTTTTAAAAGTAATCCAGAAAACGATTTATTTGTAGAACAAATGTTTACGTATAATTTTAGAATTTGGAACAATGGCTAAAGAATTAATGATTTCATTGCCAGTTCAATAACTGGACTTCTACTACTATTTGAAATTATTGGACGAATTTAACGAAAATCAACACCTGAAACTACAATTAGATTACCTAACCATATATCCGTGTTGCATGAATCATGTAAAATTCAATACCATCAATAAAGAAAATGTTATGTTTTTCTTGACATGTAATTTTTAAAATATACTTTTGATCCTTATTTAACTTGCAATAACTAGAATGATATATATTTTAGCAATGATATACATTTAAGGTGATGTCGACAGCCTGTGCGAAAAAAGTGCAGCTTAGGAGCCCTCGCTAAAATAAGCATGGCTCAAGAGTTCGACTGATAAAAAGCACAGCTCAGATTCAGGAGAAAAAGATGAATGCTCTTATTTTCAGCCAAAAATAAGCACAGCTTACTGTTCAGATGAAAACAAGCATGGCTCTTTGCATGTAGGTGAAAAGAAGCACAGCTTATGTGTTCAGAAGTAAATAAACACGCTAGCATACATATACATTAATATGATGGTAAGTGATTCTAATTATTTTTTAATATTGCAATATATTCATAATAAAATAAATAACGATTTCAAAAGCAAAAATTTACGTTTAAAAATCATAAAATACTAGTTTATTGCCTGTCTTAGAAATTTTAAAATTTGTGAGAATTACAATGAACCGAGATACGTTGCCCTTTATTAACAGAGATACTGAAATCAATTCAGTACGACTTACTGTTTTCAGTGAGTCCTTGTAAAAAAAAGAACATCCATATATTCAAAGTATCATGGTTGTGTTGTGAGAAATTGAGAAAATTATTTTGCTGAAATAAATCTTTCATAAATATTTTTATTGTTTTTATTAACTTTTTAAAATAACTTGAAATTTTTGTATACGTTATAAAGTAAACCAAACATACACCCTCTACTATGTAAATGCATTTTAAGTACTGTATTGCTTACAATCTTAATTGGTACTACTTAAAAGCTTTAGAACCACTAGTATCTACACATTTTTTTTATATACGTGTTTATGGCAAATAAGTTATTTCCACGCTGCTTTGTTGGCTAAAACTTTAATTTCTCACATACTGTGCAGGATGAATTTTTCTACATTTTGTATAGAACTTATGTGGGACTATTCTTTTATTCGTAAGCTTAATTCAGCACTCTTGGCCAGTAATTAAAAAGCTTCTATCTCTACTTGTACAAAAAATTATCTTTTCCTACCTCGGGCATTCGTTAAGGTTGGGTGTGCCTTCTAGAGAAAAAATAGTGTTCGCACGTGGTGCGTATCCAACCAGGTATGAAAATGACTATTTCTGCAGTTTTTGCGTAACAGCTTGGGTGGTTACATAAAGAATGTTCCAGATCGCGTGTGTGTTGCCACCTGAGACAAAGTCGAGGGTTAAAAACACGAGATTTGGTCATTCTTTATCTCCACCCTTGGTATACACACAATTTTACACGTTACCTAGACTAAAACTGTTACGTGACTGCCTGCGCAGCAGATGGCAAGAGACCATCCACGGGATTCGATTGCCTTCACAAATACCGAACTGAACACTCAAGAATTCTCTTCTTTCCCTTTATGATAAAAAAAAAACTCACACACCGATCCGATACAACAAACACAAGACAAAAGAACGGTCAATCCAGTGTAGCACACGCACGACCCGGTCAGTATATTATATATATATATATATATAATATGGTTATAGCTACTTTCTATAGAACTCTATATACAGGCTGATATGTTATTGTAGCATTTCCCGAGAACAGCGTATAGAGCGATTGTTGAAAGTAATTTTTTGAGCAAATAGCTTTTAAATGAGAGGCGATTGAAAATACGTTCCAAACTACCCCTAAATGGGGTTGGAAGGGTATGGCGC